ACCTTCTGCACAGCAAAAGAGACAATAACAAAAACAAAGAGAAACCCCACCTACTGGGAGAACATTTTTGCACACAACACTAATGATAAAGGACTGATCACAAAAATCTGCAAAGAGCTGATGAGACTCAACAACAACAAAGAAAATAATCCTGTCAAAAAATGGGAAGAGGATCTAAAATGAAACTTCTCTGAAGAGGAAATGCAAATGGCCAATAGGCATATGAAAAAATGTTCAACATCACTTGTAATCAGGGAAATGCAAATCAAAACTACGATGGGATACCATCTTACACCAGTGAGAATGGCACATATTAAAAAAATAGTAACAACAAATGTTGGCGAGGATGTGGAGAAAAAGGAACTCTCCTGCACTGTTGGTGGGAGTGCAAACTGGTCCAACCACTATGGAGCGCTGTGTGGAGATTTCTGGACCTACTAAACATAGAGCTTCCATATGATCCAGAAATTCCACTCCTAGGTATTTACCCAAAGGACACAGAAACATCAATTCCAAAGAGCACCTGCACCCCTATGTTTATAGCAGCACTGTTTATAATAGCTAAGCTTTGGAAACAACCCAAATGCCCAAAAATAGATGACTGGATCAAGAAGATGTGGTACATATACACCATGGAATATTACTCAGCATTCAAAAAAGATAAACACATGCCATTTGCAGCAACATGGATGGCGCTGGAAGGGATCATGCTCAGCGAAATCAGCCAGAAAGAAAAAGAAAAATACAGGATGGTCTCACTCATAGCAGGAATCTAGAAAACTTAAATAAGGGACCAGGAAAATGAATAACTATAAGAAAGTGAAAATCAAAATCAACAAAAAACTATGAACCAGAGACACTCTATAGGGGGTGAGGGGCAGGGAGGGGGGGATTGGGGTCAAAATAAGGGGGTTGCAATTGTATGGGGAATATAAAAATAAAATTTATTTAAAAAAAAAAAAAGAATTAAGGAGGCGCCTCCCCGGTGGCGCAGCGGTTGAGCGCTGGGTTGCAAAGCTGCCCGCAGCCTCTGCAGCGCCAGTTCGATCCCCGGCTGCTCCCTGGCCACTGGAGGAGGGTCCCACATGGCACGCAGACCTCTCCTGCCGCCCACTGCTCCCCTCAGCAGTATATTTCAGTCAGTCTGCCTGTTCTGTTCCTCACTCTGTCTCTGGTGAATCCTCTCAGCCCCTGCACTTCTGGCCTTTGCCCCAGCTCTGTATGCACAAATAAATATATCTTTTAAAAAAAAGAAAAAAAATAATGTTGTCCTTAAAGAGCTTACAATCTAGTTTAATTCTCACCTAAAAAGATCATATTTTAACAATTATAAATCCATATTGTAAATGGACAGCATTGTTGGAAAATGAACCTGTTATATATACCACAGGAGGTTAATGTACCATCTAAGATAAGCTTGGCTTGCTGAGAAAGAACCATGAAGACTTTAGAGAACAAAAGATATACACATCTAAAATAAGAGGGTCACAGAGAGAACTGTAGCAGATGCAGGATATCTCCTCACAGTTTTCTAATGCCTTTCTTAGTCCAAAAAAAAAAAAAAATGGTGCATAACGATGAGTGATAGCACACAAGTAAGGTAAGGGTTCAATCCAAGAAACTTAATTTCACATGTATCATGATCTTTTTATACTTGAAGGTAATATATCCTTCTGCAGAAATAAATTGTCTATGTATGCATTTCCATTTAATAGAAAATTTACAGACATCAAAACTTTCCTACTTCTATGTCAGTCTCAGTGTTCATAAAAATAACCTCGCAGCTGGGGTGTTAATGATCAATGCATCCATTCCCCTGACTCTGCCTCCAGCCTTTTTGTTATCTATGAAAGCCTACATCCCCACATTGAGTTAGTTAATAGAAAGCATCATTTAAAATAAATGTAATAAATTAAGAAAAAAATATAGATTTTAAAAAGACCTCGTGGATAAATGAGTAAAATAGTGACTATAGGACAAAAGAATTTGTATTGTGAAATGTGTTGTATTGCAAATCACAAAGTTATGGAAAGATAAGCTATACACTTAAAAATTTGGAACAAGCATAAAGGAAATTCAGGTAAAGAGTCTACCCTGGACGTCCATTTCCAGTATGGCATATAAATATACTGAAAATTTATTTTTTGTATGAAACTCCTATAAATTCTGGACAAAATACAATAAATGCCTTTTTAAATGTATAGCTGAAAATCAAAAGCTATAAAGGAAATTCCTAGATACTGAAAAAAAGAAAACTGAAAGACAGTATAGCAGCTTCATTTGAGATATGGCTTCCCTTGGGCATTTGCTCTTAACCATAACCTAATTTTAGGTTTAGACTTCTGTTAACAATAACCTCTACAGAACTAGGACTAAGGAACAGATTTTTAAATGGGAACTAAGACTCCTGCATAAAGCCTGCATCTTTGAAGAGTTACACTCTTGGTGAAAGAGTAAGCATGATCTGGAAGATAAACCTAAAGAAATTGCAAAAGCAATCAAAACAGTATAGTATTAGAACAAAAACAGAAACACAGGGCAATGGAATAGATAGAGAGGCCAGAAATAAATCTACAGAAGTAAGGGCAGTTAATCTTTGACAAAGGAGCCACAACCATAAAATGAAGAAAAGAAAGCCTCTTCAACAAATGGAGTTGGGAAATATGGGCAAACATATAAAAAGAGAAAAAAAAAAAAAAAACCCTAGGTCCGTATTTAAATCCACACAGAAAAAGTAATTCAAAATGAATTAAAGACTTGGATATAAGACCTGAAACCATAAAATACATTTTTTAAAAAAAGTAGGCAGTACACAGAGGTGTATTTGGGGACAAAACCCTAACAGCAAGGGAGTAAAAGCAAAAACAAACAAACCGAATTATAACAAACTAAAAAGCTCTTGTACCTCAAAGGAAACCACCACAAAAACAAAAAGGCAACCTACAAACTGGGAGAAGATATTTTCATGTGATCATCTGACAAGGGATTAATTCCCAAAATATATGAAGAACTCATACATCTGAACAACAAAAATCAAAAAATCCAATCAAAAAAATGCTCAAAAGACATAAATAGACAGTCCAAAGAAGTCATTCAGATGTCCTAAAAGCACATAAAAAAGTGTTCAACATCACTTATTTCAAGGGCAATGCTAGTGAAAATCACAGTAAGACCTCACATTACCCCTGTGAGAATGGCCTATAGTAAAAAAAAGACTGTAAACAATAAATGTGGGTGAGGATGTGAAGAAAAAGGAACACTTAAATAATTCCACTGTTGATGGAAATTTAATTTGGTACGGCCCGTATGGTAAATGACATGGGAATACCTTAAAAAAGTAAAAATGGATTACCATCTAATTCAGCAATACCACTACTAGGTATTTACCAAAAGGATCTGAAGACACTAATACAAGAAGATTTATGTATTCCATGTTCATAGCAGCGTTATTCACAATAGCTAATTTGAGGAACCAACCTAAGTGCCCAACAATAGACGAATGGATAAAGAAGTTGTGGTCGGCCTTCCCTGGTGATGCAGCAGTTGAGCGCTGGGCTGCGAAGCTGCCCACAGCCTCTGCAGTGCCGGTTCGATCCCCGGCCACTGATGAGGGTCCCACATGGCACGCAGACCTCTCCAGCCGTGCCCGCTGCTCCCCTCAGCAGTGTATTTCATCAGTCTGCCTGTTCTGTTCCTGGCTCTGGCTCTGGTGAATTCTCTCACCCTCCCGCGCTTCTGACTGTACCCAGTGCTTGTATAAATAAATAAATCTTTAAAAAAAAAAGGAAGAAGAAGTGTGGCATATATACACTACTACACAATAATATTCAGCTATTAAAAAAAGATGAAAAAGGTTACTTTTGGGACAAAATTGATGGATCTTGAGGTGATAATGCTAAGTGAAGTAAGTCAGAAAGTGAAAGAGAATTGCCAGATGATTCATTTGTGGAAAATAAATAACAACAAAAAAATCAAACTGGCAAAAGACATAAAAAATAATTCCTTAGCTCTAGAAAATACACTGATTACCAGATAGAATGGTGGGTTATGAATGGAAAAGAGGAAGGGGAAGGAAGGAGACAGGTGGAAATTAAGTGATGCATGAGTGCTTATGGAGATGGGATTCTTTTTGGAAGTGTGAAGTTGTAGTCCCAAAATAATATAGTTATCTAAACAATGGATGAATTAATAAAATTTGAGGAAAAAAGCAGAAATCTCTCTAAATGTAACCAAAGAGTTGGAAATTATTAAAGAAATTAAAAAACATGGAATATAGAATGCGAGGAATATAGAATGTCAATGAGATTTCTAGAAGATAATAATAAGAACAGAAAAGAGGAAATATCTGTAGAAATTTTGACTGAGAATTCTCCAAAATAGCTTTGTAGGTAAATAAATCCTAAGATTTACTGGCAACAATAGAAAACAGAAAGTAGAGATTACTATGGACTGAAAGTTTTGTGTCATATACTCCCACAAAAAAAATTCAGATGTTGGGCCACCCTGGTGGTGCAAGGGTTGAGACGCAACCTATGAAGCTGTCCGCAGCCACTGCAGCATGAGTTTGATTCCTGGCCACCAGGGAGAAACCCACATGGCGCAGCAGACCTCTCCTGTCTCGCCCGCTGCTCTCCTCAGCAGTGTACTTTGGTCAATCTGCCTGTTCTGTTCACCACTCTGTCTCTGGTGAATCCTCTCACCCCCCATGCCTCTGGCCTGTACCCCAGCTCTTGTATAAATAAATAAATAAATAGATAGATAGATAGATAGATAGATAGATAGATAGATAAATAAATAAATATTCATATGTTGAAATCCTACCCCAAAATGTGATGGTATTTGGACATGGGACATTTGTAGGGTGATTGGGTCATGAGGTTGGAGCCCTAGTTAATAGGATTAAGTGCCCTTATAAAAGAGACTGCAAAGACCTTTCTTACCCCTTTCATCATGGAACATACAATAAGATGGCAGTCTAAAGTCTGAAAGAGATCTCTTACCTTAACTCAGCTGTGCTGGGATGCTGATCTCATGCAGGCTTCTGCTCCAGAACTGTAAGAAATCATTTTCTATTGTTTATAAACCATCCAGTCTATGGTATTCTCTTATAGCAAATCAAACAAACTAAGACAGTGAGGTAATAGCTTCAAACATCCAGAGAAAATAACTGTCTGCCCAGAACTGTGTACATACCTAAAAAAAACAAGAGCAGGGCCTCCCCGGTGGCGCAGCGGTTGAGCGCTGGGTTGCGAAGCTACCCGCGGCCTCTGCGGCGCCGGTTCGATCCCCGGCTGCTTCCTGGCCACCGGAGGAGGGTCCCACATGGCGCGCAGACCTCTCCTGCCGCCCGCTGCTCCCCTCAGCAGTGTACTTCGGTCCTTCTGCCTGCTCTGCTCCCCTCTCTGGCTCTGGTGAGTTCTCTCGCCCTCCCGCGCTTCTGACTGTACCCAGTGCTTGTATAAACAAAACAAACAAACAAATAAAATAAATAAATAAAGCATGCCTCTATTAAAAAAAAAAAAAATAAATTATAAAAAAATAAAAATAAAAAAAAAAAAAAAAACAAGAGCAAATTAAAGACAATTGACCAGCAATGATGTATCATTAAAAGAATTTATAAGAGCTACAATTCAGGAAGCAGAAATACGATCTCAGAGTAAAAGTCTGAAATGCAGGGGTTGTGAATAAAGAATCTGAAAAATATGTGAGTAGACTTAGATTATATAGAACAATTTTTCTGGGGGATATAGAAAACAGGTGAGAAGTAACATATAAGGTAATAATAATGGAAGGTGAGGTATAATCATGTTTAAAGAATTCTGAAGCTATTTCATTGTTGATGAAGAAAGTAGGGACATTAAATTTAAACACTGGTATATTAAGTTTATGAATAGTCACATAAATAAAAGACATAGTGTAAATAATTTTCAAAGTAGGTGGTGGTAGGGAATGAAACAAACAAAACTCAATGGATTCAATGGTAGATAGGAAAAGAAAAAATATGAAAAAACTGAAATGAGACAAATCAGAAAATAAGTAATATTTAATGTAAGTGTTCTGAACCGTTCAACTAAAAATAGGCAGAAAATGTTAGATTGGGTTAAAAAAATACAATTTGGGGCATTATATAAAAAAGGCATAAAACATAAGAAGTCAGAAATGTTTAAAATGAAAAACTAGAAAAAATATATATTATTCAAATATTAGAAAAAAGCTAGATTAAAATCATAAAATGTTATTTCATTAAAAAAGCATTTAACGGTAAATGAAAATTACTACATAGTAATAAAAGTTTTTGATTCACTATGAAGATTAATCAATTCTAAACTTGTAAGCACCTAATATCAATAGGAATGTGGCAAAAAAACTGACAAAACTGCAAGGGGAAATTGACATATCTACTACAATAGTGGAAATTTTAATATACCTCTCTAAGGAACTGACTGACAAAGCAAACATAAAATGAATAAGGAAATGTATGATTGGAGAAAATGATCAAGAAGTTTGGCTTAGTTGACAAATAAAAAAGTCTGCATATAGTAATTTAAGACTAAAGATACTTTATGATAATTAGCAACATAATAGGTCAAAAAAAATCTCATCAAATATAAAAGAATCATTATGATAAAGTCTGTGTTCCCTGGTCACAGTGCAACTAAATTAAAATCAATAACAAAGCCAACTATAGAGACAAAAATCAAATCAGTTGTTTCTGAAGGTTGAGGGATAAAATAGGAGATTGATCACAAAGGGGCATGAGGGAATTCTGAGGGTGATGAAAATAATCTTATTTAATAATGGATTCATAGCTGTATGTATTTATCAAAACTCATCGAAACTACACACCTAAAATGTATAAATTCTTTTGTATGTAAATTATGCTTCAATAAAACTGACTTTTAGAAAATCAGTAACAAAGCTTTAAACATAACTTTAAAAAAATCCCATAATTTAACCTCCATGTTAAATAATTACAAAAATCAGATGTTTAAAGGTGAATGATTATGAAAATGCACCATATTAAAATTGATGATGAATATAGAATTAATGTAGGTATGCTAAGCTTTATATATGTCAACAGAATACATCCAGAGGATGCAGTTGAAAGAAAATAATAAAGCAACGCAGAAGGAAATGAAATAAAAAAAGAAAAATATAACAGAGAATATCAACAGTGAGAAAATATGGTCCTATGAAAAACTAATAATTACAATAAACAAGCCTCTGTTACTTTTTAGCATGAAAAAAAATTAGAGAAAACACAAATTGATATTATCAGTAATTAAAATTGAAATATAACTTTATTCAGAAGAGACATGAAACTATCAATACATTTAAAAGTCTATACAAAGTAATATCTAGAAAATGACAGCTATTGATAAAACATTCCTAGAAAACTATAGCTCACCAAAAATTTCCCACAATTAAACAGAAAAATTAAATATAGTTATAAATTATTAAGGAAATTAAATAAGTAACTTAAAGATCCACCCACAAATAACAAAGAAACCCAAAAGTTATTTGTATGAAACATTTCAACCAAATTCTAAAAAACTGGGTAATTCGATTGTATGCAAACTTTCACAATTCCGAAAAACAGAAACTCACTAGCTGATTTTGTGGGTTAGTACATCCTTGATTACTAAAGCCCTGTAACAATTCAAGAGTCCTGGGTCTGGTTTAGAGCTTCAGCACATTTCTTTTGAAATTCCTAAAACTGTATTCACAAAATGAGTCCATTTCAAACTAATTAGCATATCCATCACCTCACAGTTACCTACATGTTTGTGTGTGTGTGTGTGTGTGTGTGTGTGTGTGTGTTGAGGATACTTGAAATCTTAGCAAATTTCAAAATGCAGTTCATTATGATCATAATAAACATACTGTATATTAGGTCTCAGGACTTAATTTATAACTGAAAGTTTGAATCCCTTTGACCAACATCTCCCCATTTCCTCCACCAACAGTCACTGGTAACAACTTTTCTACTGTGTTACTACATGTTTGACTTTTCTAGATCTCATATGTAAGTGAGAACATGAAATATTTGTATTTCGATGGCTGGGTTATTTAACTTTGCATAATATCCTCCAAGTTTATTCATGTTGCCATCCTCAAATATCAATAGCAGGATTTTCATCAAGCCATTTGGGGATTTTTCTTTCATGTATGAAAATCTTAAATTATTATATTAACCTCTTATTGGACACATAGTTTGTATATATTTTCTTCAATTTTATAGGTTAACTTTTCATTTTGTTGTTTCTTTTCAGTGCAGAAACTTTGTAGTTTGGTATAATCCCATTTGTTTATTTTAGCTTTTGTTGCCTGAGCTTTTGGTGTAATATCCAAAAAATTACTGGCAAGACCAATGTTAAGGAGATTTTCTCTTATGTATTCTTAAGAGGATTAATACATTTATCTCTGAATTTGTGTTTAGTAAATGTCTGGTAAAACACTGGAGCATGCACTGGGGCTTTGACACTCATCTCCCACCACACATGGCCTCCTCACCTTCCCAAGAAGGATTCTCAGCGACCTGTTCCCTATGCCCTGCAAAGTTTACTCTATTTTGTGTCTTATTTTCTCTAGCCTGGCACTTCCATGAGTGCAGGGATCACATCTGACCTGCTCACTATTATATCACCAGGCCTTGCAAAATGACTAGGGTAAAGAACGAATTTAAGAATTGTTGGTTAAGTAAATTTAAAAACCCAAAATACCTGAAACCCCACGTGGTAGAAAAAATATACCCAGAACAAAGAGAATTTAGGCTGACTTTGAAGACTGTCAATAACTTAAATAATTTGTGAGATAGTGAGAGAATATTTCTGGTGATGAAAATACAGTGAACAAAAACATGCTTGAATATTTGTCAACTTATTAACTTGAAATGAAATGAAAGATTCAGTGGAAGCATCAGTGGGAATAGAGGTTGAAGAAATGGTTGGAGTCCAATTATTTAGAGACTAAATACTATTGTAGAATAGGAAAGTTGAATTTTATTCTCTAAGCTCTGGGATGTTCTTTAAGGTTTTCAAATATGAGAACAGCATAATTCAGGGTCATTATCATATTTCTGTGGCTTTCACTGGGATGTAGACAAAATAGAGGCACAGAAAGAGTAAACGGAAAATCTGGAAATTACCAATCAGATTTGTAATTGTAACAATACTGATGGTGAATGACTTTTTCTTATCTACAAGTCCAACACTGCAAATTGAAATAATATTTTGAATAATCTTTCAAATAAACATTAGCACATCTCTTCAAACACATCTGTTGGATAGAACAATTTCTCCTCTCCCCACCCCCAGAAAATCACAATCAACTGTCTTTGCATGGAATGCATGAATCTAAACTATGGTATTAAGAAGTTGTTGACAAATCAAATAAGGTAACACCTTATTTCACCTCTAATACTCACCTCATAATTGTGAGTATTACTGCTGCATTTGCATTCCAGAAGAAGTCTTTCTTCTCATTGTGCTCTGTTACAGTTAAACAGTGAACTGCAAAATGAATGTGTTCTCTTAATTTAACATAGAACCACTCTCTTTAGCACTATGACATCAGCCTGATTTTTAGATTTTGGACAAGGTATTATCAGCATAGCAATATGTACTGATTAGCCATCTGGATTTATCTTTTTGAGTGGCAACCAATGTTAATATTAAATTACCACCCAATTTTCAGGCAAAATATTTTTAATTTTACTTCTCCAAAAGTACATGTCTACACAATATAGAAGATGATAGACTTAGAAATTAGCAATGTTTTTCTATTTTCTAATCTGACTTTATAATGGATTTAAATCATAATTGTGTTTTCTTTAAAAAAATGTTACCCACCCATCAGTATTCATTTGGATTCTAAATACTTAATAAATTATCATTTTTAAAAAAAAATTTAAAAGATATATTTATACAAGAACTGGGGTACAGTTCAGATATGTGGGAGGGTGAGAGGATTCACCAGAAACAGAGTGAGGAACAGAACAGGCAGACTGACGAAATACACTGCTGAGGGGAGCAGCAGGAGAGGCAGGAGAGGTCTGCTGTGCCATGTGGGTTTCTCCCTGGCACCCGGGATGAACCCTCACTGCAGAGGCTATGGACAGCTTCACAGTGTGGCGCTCAACCACCTGCACCACTAGGGAGGCCCAATGAATTATCTTTAATGTCCTAGTCCTTATACAAACAAAACAACATCCATTCCAAGGATGCCTTCTAATCCACAGTAGATACAATACCACCAAAATAAGGTGAATATTAAAGCCCAATTTTTTAAACTGTTACAAGTTTAGCACTTGTGGGGTGGCAGTAGAAGAAAGAATTCTGATGCTGTTAATATGAATGGGCCAAAACTATATAAGTGTATAAAAGGGATGAGAATCCATATTCAGCAGGAATGCAGAAAAGATAAAACTCTTTCTAATAAAGAGCTTATAATCATTTGTTGTCACAACATGGAGAAAACAGTCCCTCAAAAAAAGTATGCTGACCTTTGCAAAAAGAGAAAGCAAATTACAGGGAGCTTGGTTTAGAAATGCAGAGATGCGGCAACCATTGACAAGCTTAACAAATAAGAATTCAGAGACAAAGTATATGTCAAGGACAAGACTCATTAACATGCATCCATGTTCTCACCCACCCCATTAAAAAAAAAAATCTGTCTTCTTCCATTCAGCTCTCTTATTCTCTGATCTCCTAAGGACATAAAGTGGTCTGTGCCAGGCCAGTTACTCTGGAGTTACTCTGGACAGTAGGTATAGTAGAGAATATTAAAAGAAATTTGTGCTCAAAGGGGCCCCATTCTTGATTAAATAGTCTGTTGCAGCCATGTGGAAATTCTGAATAATTTTTGAACAAGGGACTGCAGATTTTCATATTACAAAAGGTAATTATGTAACTGGTCCTAATTGCAAGAGGTAGAAAAATCCATGAGCAAGAACAGCAGTTACCTCACAGCACACAACCAGACAGCAAAAGCAACACTCAACAGATATCCCAGTCATGTTAAGAGAAATTTCCAGGAAAGTCCCAGAAGACACCAGGTGGTCCAGAGCCTCTACCCTGTACCCCTTGCCCTACGCCAGTGACCAACTTTGGAAAGGAAGGCAGATCTTTCACAGGAAAGAAAACAACATATGTCTGGACTTCAAATTAGCTTGAAGGAGTATTGATTATAGAAATTAATTTTTCTTTATCGAAGTCATCATATGTAAATTCCAAATCCTCTACAGAAGGATAATAGTGTACATTCAGAAAATAAAATATTTCAGGTTGAAGGGCTTGCTTTCCCACATATAAGTTATTTATGAATATTTAAGGTGTATATACTCTAGTTTGAGACTATTTGTTCAAGCATTCTGAATCAAGGATGACCGATATACTGGTTTTTGAGTTCAGGAGTGGTATTTTATCCTTTTTCAGCCATCATCTAGATATGGAGCTCTAAAATAAGGGTATCTTGCAGGGATGCTTGGCAGTAAAATATGACAACCCAGAAAATATGTAAAACACACATTCCAGAGCAGACTTTTTAAATATACCAGATGGTTAGCCATTGTTTTCTTTTTTTTTAAGTTCTTCATAGAGACATGAAATCGTTGCTTCTCTTTAGATTAAGCCTACTCAAACACAACAGATGACATGATTTCCCACTTAGGAAAATGTTTCATTACTACAAAACAATATAAAGGTTCTTAAATGCCCTTTCTTTTAAAATCAAGAGGTAAACTCACTGGGTATTACTCTTCCCCATCTGTTTCTCTCTATACACACCTTTTCTAAACTAGGAAATTTCCTGCCTTGTTATCCACCCCGCCCCACCTTCTCTTTAATTTAGTCTGTTTGGTATCGCTTGCTCTGTATTTCACTGCATTAAAAAAAGAAGGTCATGACTTAAAAAGACAGAAAGCTCTGTTAAAAAGTTATCTACAATTTACTTGGGAGTTCAAAATCAAGGGTAAATGAGGTTGATTTCCCCCAAATGAGATAATCCTTGCTAAGTCCAGGGTGCTGTGCTTAGTATACAATGGGTAAGCAAATTGTTAGTCATTTTTCATCATTTTGCCCCAATTATGAGTCATTTTTCCAGCAATGTCTGCACTAAGACTTCATTGTTTATGGAATCGAATAGAAAATCCAGAAATAAACCCACAGATTTATGGTCAACTAATCTTTGACAAAGGAGCAAAGAATATGCATTGGAGCAAAGAAAGTTTGTTCAATAAATGGTGCTGGGAAAACTGGGTCGCTACATGCAAAAGAATGAAGCTTGACCACCACCTCACACCATACACAAAAATCAACTCAAAATGGATTAAAGAACTAGACATAAGACCTGAAACCATAAAATATATAGAAGGAAATATAGGCGAAACACTACGTGATTTGCACATCAAAGACATCTTTACAGACACATCACCCAAAGCAGTGATAGTGAAGGCAAAGATAAACAGCTGGGACTACATCAAATTAAAGAGCTTTTGCACAGCAAAAGAGACAATAACAAAAACAAAGAGAAACCCCACCAACTGGGAGAACATTTTTGCACCCAACACTAATGATAAAGGACTGATCACAAAAATCTGCAAAGAGCTGATGAGACTCAACAACAACAAAGAAAATAATCCAGTCAAAAAATGGGCAGAAGAGCTTAAAAGAAACTTCTCTGAAGAGGAAATGCAAATGGCCAACAGGCATATGAAAAAATGTTCAACATCACTTGTCATCAGGGAAATGCAAATCAAAACTACCATGAGATACCATCTTACACCAGTGAGAATGGCACATATTAAAAAAACTAGCAACAACAAATGTTGGCGAGGGTGTGGAGAAAAAGGAACTCTTCTGCACTGTTGGTGGGAGTGCAAACTGGTCCAACCACTGTGGAAAGCTGTGTGGAGATTTCTGGACCTACTAAACATAGAGCTTCCATATGACCCAGCAATTCCACTCCTAGGTATTTACCCAAAGGACACAGAAACATCAATTCCAAAGAACACCTGCACCCCTATGTTTATAGCAGCACTGTTTACAATAGCTAAGCTTTGGAAACAACCCAAATGCCCAAAAATAGATGACTGGATCAAGAAGATGTGGTACATATATACCATGGAATATTACTCAGCATTCAAAAAAGATAAACACATGCAATTTGCTGCAACATGGATGGCGCTGGAAGGGATCATGCTCAGCGAAATAAGCCAAAAAGAAAAAGAAAAATACCGGATGGTCTCACTCATAGCAGGAATCTAGAAAACTTAAATAATGGACCAGGAAAATGAAAAACTATAAGAAAGTGAAAATCAAAATCAACAAAAAACTATGAACCAGAGACACTTTTAGGGGGGCGGGGGCGGGAGGGGAGGGATTGGGGTCAGAATGGGGGGCGGCAATTGTATGGGGAATATAACAATAAAATTTATAAAAAAAAAAAAAAAAAAAAAAAAAAAAGACTTCATTGTTTCCTCTACTGTCCTTTTTGGGCACTCACCACCATGCTTGTTAAGAAAGCTGATCGAGGATAGCCAGGAAGATCTGAAGGAAAAGTGTTACTAGAAGTTAACTAGATTAAAAAGGGATTCATGTTTGCATTGTGGTTTTATGGCAAATGTCACCTTATAATTATTATACTAAGGGAAGCAAATGGGGTATTGGCACGGGTTGTTTGTAGAGGGTAAGTGGAACAGGTACACAAATGTAAGAGAAAAATGTAACCACCAAAAGAATTAAAATAAAAGTTTTAAAGTTTTAAAATAAAAAATAATTTATTATAAAGCCTCTATCTAGTTCATTATGATATCCCAGCACCTAGGATATTGCATAATAAGCATATAGTAGATATAGATATATTTTAAATAAATTAGCAAATCGTAAGTGGTGACAGATAACATCCCATAGCCCAATTTGTTTCACAGTGTCCCAGAGAGTAGCCCAAGGTCAATGGAATACGGATCTAACCCTAAACATAATGGATTTCTATGTCCCACTGCACAGATCCCTGAATTATTAGCACTTTCTCCAACTGAAATAACATGAACATAATTTTCTTCCCAATTATTCTTGCTGAGGGATACACAAAAGGTTTCAGTGGGTGGAAGATTTACAGCACAGCTTCCGGAAAAGCCTAGAAACACCATGGGGCAACTGCAAAAGGTCTTATGGTAATTAAATCAAGAAGCCAAGGGACCCCTGGAGGCCCACTCAGAAGGCATAGGGACTGCCCTCCTGGTGGAAGGCACTTTCGCTGACGTCCATTATATAAAAGATCCTTAGGCAAGCAAGAATGAAAGCAAATACAACAAAGAAAAAAATGCCTATGGTTTCCCATTGTTTCCAAGGTTCTCATATACAATGACCTCTAACACAGCCTACAGCTCCACTAAAATATTTCCTTCTCCTATTGTAGGGAGGTAGACAAAATCACATCCTAAAATTCAAATACAACCCCAAAAATGCAACTTTCTCTGTAATCTTATAAATGAATTAAGCCTCTCTGAGCA